CTGATGCTCGGCTTTCACTTGCTGCACAAGTAGGCACTAGACACGGAAAGCTGCCACATCGCTCTTCATACCCCGCACCAAAACTGGCGACCCAAATCCTTTGATTACATCTTAGTAACCTCCCGGATTGCAACCGCAAGGCGTTGAATTGATGGAACTCTCGGAGTACCTTCCTCTCAGCCAAGACTCCCGCACAAACAGACGGGTCTCGGTTATCTCACCACTCAGGTCAGGATTACCACCATTCCAAACCCTTCTCAACCTTCCTGCTGGAAATCTTCTCTCGGAGAGATTCTACCTCAAGGTCACCTCTCTGAGCCTTTAACACTCGAGTCACAAGTGTAGGCTGCGCAACAACAGAAAACAAGGCCGCAGCCTCAATGGATTCGCTCAGAAGCAAATCAAACTCCCCAAGTGCACCTAACATCTTCCACTCTCGGATGGCTATACTAGCTATGTCACCAACAGATTTCCTACTAAGGGCATCGGCTACTACATTGGCCTTCCCCGGATGATAATGTAATTCGAAGTCATAATCCTCAATGAACTCCATCCACCTCCTCTGCCTCAACTTCAAGTCTTTCTGTGTAAATAGATATTTCAGACTCTTATGATCCGAGAATACCTCAAACCTCTCACCGTAAAGATAATGCCTCCAAATCTTCAAGGCAAAGATCACAGCTGCTAACTCTAGATCATGCGTAGGGTAATTCTTCTCGTATATTTTCAACTAACGTGAGCCATAGGCATCCACTTTCCCCTCTTGCATCAACACACAACCCAGACCCTCTCGTGAGGCATCACAATAGACTGCATAACCCAACCCTCTCTCCGGAATAATCAATACTGGAGCGGTGGTCAGTCTAACTTTCAACTCCTGGAACGACGTTTCACAAGTCTCACTCCATACAAATTTGACTCCCTTCCGAGTCAATCTAGTCAAGGGGAAGCTAACATGGAGAAATCCTTCACAAACCGACGATAATACCCAGCTAATCCCAGAAAATTGCAGATCTCAAACACACTCTTAGGCTGTGCCCAATCTTGCACTGCCTCCGTCTTGGATGTATCAACAGACACCCCTTCCCCAGAAACCACATGGCCTAAGAACTTCACCTCTTCTAGCCAGAACTCACACTTCCCAAACTTAGCATAAAGCTTATGGGCTCTAAGTAACTAAAGCACCACTTTCAAGTGTTCCTCGTGCTCCTCCTCTGAAGGTGAATAAATGAGAATGTCATCTACGAAAATGACCACAAAACTATCCAAGAATTCCCGGAAGATCCGGTTCATCAAGTCCATAAAGACTGCCGGTGCATTGGTGAGCCCAAAAGGCATCACCAGGAACTCATAATGGCCATACCGCGTACGGAATGCATTCTTCGGAATGTCCTCCTCCCTGACTCTCAACCGGTGGTAACCCGATCTTAAGTCTATCTTAGAGAAACAACGGGAACCCTTCAACTGATCGAATAGATCATCTATACGAGGCATAGGGTACTTATTCTTAACCGTAGACCAATTAAACTTCCGATAATCTATACAGAGTCTCAAAGCACCACCTTTCTTTTTAGCAAAGAGGGCCGGTGCTCTCCACGGTGAAACACTAGGACGTATATAGCCCTTATCTAGTAACTCCTGAAGCTGAATCTTCAACTCAACTAACTCGGCTAGGGCAAAACGATAAGGTGCCATAGAAATCGGCGCCGTGCCAGGCACTAGATCAATAGAGAACTCAATCTCTCGATGCGGTGGTAAACTAACAAGATCCTCGGGAAAGACGTCCGAGTACTCACAAACCACCCTTGGCAACACTATCTGGGTCTCGTCACACTCACCACTCTCAAAGCTGGCAAGTAGACCACTAAGCTCACCCCGCCCTCGCGGATCATAACCCGATGACAAAACACCACCAATCCAGTCCCCCAGAAAATGAAAACACTCCCCGCTCAAGGTACATAGTGTGACCCTTTGGCGGTAGCAATCGATAACTGCCTGGTATGACGATAACCAGTCCATACCCAAAATAACATCAAAGCCCTTCATGGGCATAACTACAAAAAGAAACGGAAGTCTATGATCGGCGACCTCTATATCACAACCTCTAACACCTTGTTTCAAGATCATTTCACCCCCAAGAGGTGACACTACACAAATAGGAGATGCTAACTGTGCTAACTCTAACTCCAAAACAGATGCAAATGTAGCAGACACAAAGGAATGAGATGCACCCGTATCAATCAAAACACTAGCAACCGAATTGCAAAACAAGAAGGTACCTCTCACAACTGATGGAGCCGGTACAAGATCCTGCGCGGTAACTGCGTACACGCGCCCAGATGGTCTCTGATCAACCTGCTCACCCCTAGGAGCATAAGACTGCTGGACAGACTGGGAAGATGAAGGCCCCTGATTGGCCCTCGAGGCCTGAACCGACTGAGCTGGCTGATGACTCTGAGTCTGCCTCAAACCAGATGCACCAGATGTGCCACTCAACTGCGGGCAATACCTCTTCATGTGCCCTGGCTGACCACACTGATAACACGAGAGTGCCTGGCCTCTACCCTGACTCTGGCTCTGAGATCGAGCCGAAGAAGATGCTGCTCTCTGAACTCCTCCCCTCTGAGGACAAACTGGAGACTTGTGGCCCAGCTGGCCACACTTGAAACAGGTAATCTCTCCCTGACGAGCGGGGGTGCTCACGACACTCGGTACTCTCTACAAAAAATCACACACAATCAGAGTATTTATATAGGGGGCTCACGAATGCGGAAGCAAAATATACATATTGACTATCCTGACTCCTCTTGGAGCCCTTCTGTCCTTCCTCCTCCTCCTGCATCATGATTTCCATGTGGGCTGCAGCATCAACCATACGCCCATAATCCCGAATCATAGTTCCTCCAACTCTCAGCTTGAGGCCACGCCTCAACTTCTTCTCAAACTCAATACAACGGCGTTCCTCAGACGCCACCAACTCAGGTGCAAACCTGGATAAACTAGTAAATGCAGCCTCAAACTCGGCCACTGAAGAACTCGACTGCTTAAGTTGACAGAACTGGTCTCTCAGCTTTTCCCTGACAGCTGGAGATAAAAACCTCTCCTGGAAAGCATTTACAAAAGCCTCCCACGTACCTCCTATACGACCTTTTGTGAACTTCCACCACTAACCCGCATCCCCCTTCAGCTGGAACGATGCCAAGGTCACTTTCAACCCTTCGTCTTCGACGCCAAGCATCTCAAACGTCTTTGTTGTCTGTTCGAGCCATTCATCTGCCTTAAGTGGCTCTTTGGGATCACCCACAAATTCGTCCGGGTTAGACCGGAAGAACTGCCTCTTCAGAAAAAAAAAGGTCCTGCATCCGCAACAACAACCTGGGCTTGATTCTCAGCCCTAAGAATGCCAACTGACTCCCTGAATGCCCCTGCTATCTCTCGGGCCAAAGCGCCCATAGCCTGCTGGCCTACTAGCTCAGCCACATTGGCCTGGCCAACACCCTCCTGCTGCTCCGGAACCTCCTCCGGTATAGGCACCTCCTGCCTACCACGCCTACCACGTCCTCGTCCTCATCCTGACATCCTAAAAAAAAATAACAAAGACGTTAGCACATTAATAAATGTGCCGAAGCTATAACACTCGCGTCCTAATGCTGGACAACAATAATTCATTCCACGTAAACACATAATCACATAAGCACCTACGAATTTCATTCCTGGATAATGATAGTCCCGAGGCGTCACTATAGTTCCGGTTAGAAGCAGCATTGATCAAGTGCCTTTCCAACAAGACTATCAGAAACTCAAGGGTCCAACCAATATCCTAGAAACTACATCTCATACCCAGATAGTCACATAAACATGTTATCATATAAGCACATAACAGTACATCTAAGTCTCTATCAAGCGAGACGAACCCATTGTGATACTAATCACTTCCCACGTACCCAAAGTATTCGAACCCGGTACGCTCTGATACCAAGTTGTAACGCCCTCAAAATAAACCCATTATATATACATCATCGACATGCATTATTTAAAGAAAACAATTTATTCATTCATTCATCAGAGTATTACTAAATAAAAGCATTACATGTAACATCGAATAAAATGCCCTACAGGCTTACATCTTTCCAAGCCAACACTTGGACACAAAATGTGAGTACTAACTCAACTACAAATTAAGCCCTTGGCTTGATTGTTTACATGTAATATCAAATAAAATAAATAACAACTAAACTAAACAGAGTCTTCAACTCTCCAACTCCTTCCAAGCTAAGTCTTTGGAGGTAGCATATCACCTGAACCTGAAAATGATGTTCTATGTAGGTTGAGCCAATGCCCAGTAGAGATATACTAAACCAAATATGAGAATTAACTAAAACAATAGCATTCGACAGATGGTTAACCCTTATAAACCAATTTACCACATAATCCAATTCCATGACACAAAGTCCATGTTTCATTTCATATTTCTTTATTTATACAATTTCAATTCATAATCCTGGCTCAGAACCTGGCCAAACAATTCAGTGAGATTATAACTCATGTTATAACGCTTCCATATTTCACAATTTACATGAGACTATTCTCACATTCAAACACTTCCATGCTTCAGTAAGTACACAAATTTGTTATACTAATGGAGTCCATCCCCTATCTCCTCCCAAACAAAAATGCATATACAATGTATTAAACACTTGGCATATACAACACACAATCAATACACGTATTTTCTGTATCAATGCCATAGTCAAAATTAATGACTTAACCAATGTGATTAGTTTCAGTTATTCCTAATCCACATGCAATGTCTACAACAATCACGACTATCCTCCACCGATAGCCCAAAACAGTTATTTCTAAACTGAAAATAACTATGTCAACAATTTCATTCCTTTTTTGTTCTATTCCTTTTTTCTTCTCTTGTAGATGTTCATGTCAATAGCAAAAAGCCAAAAAAGAATAATAATAATTTAAAACAAATATAATGCTTTTGTACAAATGCTATTTTAGCATGCTTCAAAAAAAATATTTCACAAATTTACATGAAACTGTTTACTATAAAAACAATATATGTCACTGTGCAAGTAGTATGCCAATTTTACATTTAAAAATAAATAAATAAATAATCGAGGTTCATGGTCCAAAATAAATATTTCAAAAAAAGAACTTTAAATGGAAATGTTGAAGAGCCATACTACTGGACATGCATTTTCCTTTCCCTTTCCCGAAACGGTGGTCTTTTCGTTTTTCTTCAACAATGCCTTGGCAATTTCCTTTTCCTTTGCCTACAAAAAATAAAAAAAAAGTATATGTAGAAAGTTTTTAAAAAATATATAAATAAGAATATACGGCGTATACGGTGTTTTGAAACAAAAAAAAATCTATATAATTAAATTGGGCCTACCTCTCGAACACGGATGACATTAAGGTCATGCTCATCACGGATAACAACATTAAAATTTCTTTCTTGAAGAAATTGGACCTAAAAATACAAAAGAATTAGAGGTAAAAAAAAATAAAAAAATAATACATGTAAGAAAATGAGTAAAAGGAGTCAATATTACAGTTCGACGTAAGCCTCCATCCATCTGTAAATTTAAGAAAAGAGCATTTTGTTATAAGGAATTAGATAAAAAAAAATAATGAAAAGAAAAGAAAATTGACTTTTGCTTATAAGAAAAATGTTTTTTTTTTCAAATAAATAAAAAAGAAAACAACTTACGTGACCAAAAATAGTAATGTTGTCCATAATTAGCAGTTGAAGGTCAATGGTGTCTCAACCTAAAAGCCCTTGGTTATATAAATTTGACAAAGATAACTGTATGAAGGCAAAATGAGGTTTAATAATTGCCATAAAGAGAAATTAATCGCTACAAAATTAACAACCTCCTTGTACGAGAAAGAAATAAACATTCTCGTATAATCCTGTTGATCAAGTCTGCGCTCCTCCGTACGACATCGCTTTACTCCCTGAAAACAGGATAGAAGAAATTGAAAATTAAAAAGGATAGAAGAAAAATTAAATTTAGGCATCTTATGAAATTAATCGCTACAAAATTAATCACTACAAAATTAAATTTAGGATATGAAATTTCTCTGAAAACAGGAGGTTGTTAACAAAATTATATTTTGTAGCGATTAACTTTTTCAACTATTATAGGATAGAAGAAAAATTATAATTTTTTTATATCTTCAATATGCATTAAAAAGGATAGAAGAAAAATTAAATACTCTCATAGAAATCTTCATAATTTTTCTCTATCGGCCAAAATATAGAACTATTGCAATACATGATTTTGTGGTTGATTCTATATAGTAACTTTACATTGACAAAGGTTAATTCTTATGGATTGTATTGCCCATTTTTCCTACTAACAACTAAGTAAATTATAAAAATATATAAATTATACTAATGAATAAAATTTTAGCAAAACTTAATTACAGAAATTTAATTACTAAATTTGCATTTTAAAATGTGAAAACAAAATAAGTAAAAAAAACTATAATAAAAATTTATAAAAGGGCTCACTACACTATAATTGGAAAATTACAAATACCTTTTGTATTAGCTATATAATTACAAATGTCTTTTTCAATACACATCACAAAAAATTATATTACACGGTAGCTTATTTACTTCAAGGAGTAATACTCTCATAAAAATCATTAAAAAATTATTACAACAAAATTTCAAAATAAGTTTAAGTTTTTTCAAAAATCCTGATAAACATCTAAAAAGTCTTTTTTTTTTGTTTGAAAAATTCCAAAAACAAAATTGAAAAAGCTAAATAAACTGGATTCTTTTTAAAGAGAGAGAAGCCTAAACATTTTAAAATAGCAATTCAATAAAAAACCAAACTAAAAACAGTTCACTAAAAGGAAAAAAAATAAGGGTCATCAAATTAAAAGAGTTAACTTTTTAATGTTCCCTTTTCCTTTCAATCAACAAATTCCTTTCAAATCCTAAATCCAAATACAGCCTAAGAGAGATGATGAAAAAAAAAAGAAAAAAAAAAGACCTATCATATTACAAAATTAAACTGTAACAAAATCTTTGTAAAAATTTAACATAACATAACATAACAAAAAAAAAAAGAATAGTTATTCAGGCCCAGAAGTTAGACTTATTTTATAGGTCCAGTGAAGCCTAAGAGAGATGATGAAAAAAAAAAAAAGACCTATCATATTACAAAATTAAACTGTAACAAATGTTTGTAGAAAAAAAAAATAAAATGAACTTGATATGTCAAGAAGAGGACTGGTTGATAATTAAATATTATCTCACTCTCACCCACATTTTCTTGACACATCACTAGGTCTATAAAATGGGTATAAAAAATGAACTTGTATATCATTATTTAAAAAAAAAAAAAGACATAAGCATTCACATAATTCATCATACGTTCCAACTATAAAAAAAAATAAATACATAAAAAAAATGGTATTCTGTAGAAATTGAACAGTTGTATACCAAGATACATAACTAGACATACTATATTAGACTTCTTTCTAAACCAAACATTAAAAGCTTAATGTGTAATCTAATTATTGAAAATTCGAAGACCAAACATGAAAATTCCAGAGCATTAAAGAAATCTAAGAGAGTTCATTCATTAATCCAGAACATTCATTAACCCACTGTAATTCAAAAAAGAAAGCAAGGAACTAATAAAGAATTGTAAGGGAGGGACTTCCTAACCTGAGTATTTGCTTGAGAAGCAAAATTAAAGAAATTTAAGACAGAAGGATAAAAATAAAAACACAATTAGTAAGAGCACTCCTCAATACTAAAAATGTACACGAATATATTTTCATATTTGACGAATAAGAATATGACCATTAATGATTAATGAGAACCTCAACCCATTTGATTAAGATGAAATAAAAATGATTGTTGACATGGAATATAACTGTAAGAAGACAGAATAAGGTTTAATAATTGCCATAAAGAAAAATTAATTGACACAGAATTAACAACCTCATAACATATTTTAGTTAACAACCTACTTTAAGAAATTCGTAAGTGCATGTATATCACAAGTGGAGAAATTGAATTACTACAGGATTGATGGCAAATTATAATTTTTTTGTCTTCAATATACATTGAAAAGGATAGAAGAAAATTTAAATACTATCATAGAAATCTTCATCATTTTTCTCTATTGGCCAAAATGTAGAACTATCGCAATAAATGATTTTGTGGTTATAGCAATCCCGGTTGTCCCCTTACTGTTCTGTTGTATTCCGGACTCGGTTCCATGAAGTTGGTAGTGGTATCTATCTTGTTGCCATCCTTTAATTCCACTTGATTGAGTTTTAGGATGTTTTGAGCAGGGTTGTTACAGGTTGGTTAGGCCTTGGTTTCAATTCCTTGTTGTCCAGTTTTTAGGCGATCCGCTCGAGCAGGTTTTCTTGCACTCGAGCGGGGATTGTACACCTCCAGTATTTCGTGTTCCTCCAAACTTCTGCAGATGTGATTTTTACGCTCGAGCGGGTTTGTTTACGCTCGAGCGGGTTTGTTGCGCTCGAGCGGGTAGTACTTTCCTGGGTATAAGTTATGGAGGGGGAAATCTACGCTCGAGCGACTGGTTTTGCGCTCGAGCGGAAGGCTTTATTCTTGTGTCTTGGCGCTCGACGCGGGCCTTATTGCGCTCGAGCGTGCCAGATTTTTGTTCTTGCGCTGCGTAGTCAATGTGTCTCCTGCTCGAGCGGGTCATGCGTATATGAGTTATCCGCTGGGTGATTTTAAATCACTTTTTACTTTCCTTTCTCTCTCCTACTTTTTCTAAAACCCATTTTGAGAGCTTCTCTCTCTAAAACCTTGACTTCTCTCTAGGTATTGATCTAGTAGGAGTGATTTCCTCACCTTTGGCCTTTACAAAAAAGTTGTTGATCGTCGAGGTCTATCTTTTGATCCGAGAAATTCGTGGGTTGGAGCATTTTCATCTTTTTCACCTTCTTGGTTGGGAGTCATCTTTTGAGGTAGGGATATCCTACTCCTCTTTATGACTTTTGTCTTTAAATTTTGGCATTTCGATATGTTGGGGGTTCTTGGGTAATTTTGAGAGAGTTTGGGCCTTTGTGTAATTTTACAAAAGTTAGGGTTTTAATTATATAAAACTTAAATGCATGTTTGGCATGAATGAATGAAGTAAATGTTGAAACATTGATGAAAATGAAATCGTGAAGGGTTGAAATGTTAATTATGGAAAATGCCCTAATTACATTGATTGATTAATTTGTACAATTAATTGTTGGAAATTGGAAAGAGAAGGAATTAGAGGGTGTAGTTGGATCGTTTATCGCTCACCTAATTGAAATGTTGATTTAATATCCATTTTGTGCATTTATTTTCTGTTTAGAAATAACTGCTTTGGGCTATCGGTGGAGGATAGTCTTGATTGTTGTAGACAATGCATGATGATTAGGCAAATTAAAACTAATCGATTGAATACGTCATAGAGTATGACGGCGGATAGAATACATTAATTTTATGTATTAATCACTGGAATGTGTCATTGAGTATGACAGTTGAAAGAATACATTAAATTTATGTATTGGGTGATGATGTGTATAATTATTGTTTGTATGCATGGTGTCGTGTTGGAGAAGATAGGGGATGTACTCCACGGTTTAGGGGAAGATAGGGGATGGACCTCTAAACCGGATGTTGTTGGGAGAAGATAGAGGATGGACTCCATAGATAGAGCTCATATGCTTATCTAGAAATGTGATGACACAGCTCATATGCTTGTCCTTTAAAGTATGATAGTGCTCTTATGCATATCCATGGAAATGATGATATAGCTTGTATGTTTATCTGTTGATGTGTGATATAGCTAGTATGCTTATCTATTATGAAATGAAAAAGTGTTTAATATGAGTTACTGTCTCATATAAGTTGTTTGGCCAGGTTCTGAGCCATGGTTATAAATTGAGAATTGAAAAGAATTGGAAAATGGACTGTAACATGGACTTGTATGTCATGAAACTGTAAAGTGTTATAAGTGAAAGTATCAGTGTTGGCCATCTATCAACTGCTAATCTTTTAGTCATTGTTCATATTTGGTTTAGTGTATTTCTACTGGGATGTGGATCATCCTATATGGGAATATCATTTTCAGGTACAGGTAGCATGCCACCTCCAATTGGCAAGCTTGGGAGGCTAGAGGCGGACAGACTTAGAGAGTACTAACTCAATACTACATTTAAGCAATTGCTTGAACTACAGTGTAATACATAAAAGAAATAAGACAACAAAAGTGTGTCGCCTCTAGCCTCCCAGCTATGTCCTTGGAGGTGGCATGCTACCTGTACCTGAAAATGATGTTCTCATATAGGGTGAGCCACAAGCCAACAGAGATATACTAAACAACTATGAAAATGACTAAAGATTAGCAATTGATAGATGGCAAGCACTGATACATCCACATATATCACATCACAATTTCATAAACATACGAGTCTATGTACTTTTCATTCTCCATCTTTATTAATAGATAAGCATATTACACATCAACAAATAAGCATATTAGCTGTATCCCACTTCACTAGACAAGCATATGAGCTGATCTACACTCTCAAAGATAGCCTATGAGCTGTTCTTCACTTCTCTAGACAAGCATATGAGCGTATCTCGGAGTTACCTCCCCATCTCCTCCCACACTATCCGTTTAGAGGTACAGCCCCCATCTTCCCTAACCGCGGAGTAACCCACATCCCTCTCTCTATACACAATGCATATAAACACAAAGGTTCTATACACAATCAATCATACATAAAATTATGTATTCTATCCGCCGTCATACTGCTAGACGTATTCAATCGATAGTTTTAATTTGCTAATCATCCATGCTTATTGTCTACACAATCAGGGGACTATCCTCGCACCGATAGCCCAAAGCAATTTTCTAAACAGAAAATAAATGCACAAAATGGATATTAAATCACATTCATTTAGGTGAGCGATAAAGATCCAACTACACCCTCTAATTCCTCTCTTTCC